CATTGAGGACTGCAAATACTTGCATACAACTAACACTAAGGTGTATCCGGCGTATCTAATAAATCGAAATTTAATACATTCACAACAGGTGACAAATTTAATGTAGATATCTGGGTTCGATCTTTATGCACCTACACAACAATACGGGCTTTTATATCCATTTAGTATAGATCCACAAATTCATTTTTCGATTGCATTCTAAAACTCCAATATTACTCTTTAACAAAAAAAGTTATTGCGTTATAAGCTAGTCTAGACAACAGACAAGAATATTGGAAATTCTTTAGTCACAGTTCGAAAGAAGCTATTCAGGAAAGTTGTTAAATATTTCCCATCTGTTGGAGCAAATAACGTATTATTAAAATGCATAAGTTGTATAAGAAAAAGTACATAGTAATCTTGAACAAATTGTAGATTTATTTGGAGCGCCAGTTGAGGCACAACAGTTTTTCTCAAACCTTGTCAAATTTACAACATTTACACCAATGTAATTCCGACATTAACTTGCTTTGGGTAAACGATGTAATACCAGACGTAGTAATCCAGACAGTTTAACTCCCTCTGTTGATAATGATGACGGATTTCAATAATCCTTTAATTTACTAAACGGACAGGACTTAATACAAATCCATCAGTGTGCTTAATACCAAAGCACAAACTACTGATTGCACGCACAATTGCGGTACATCCATGCATGTACTTGTAACAAAAGAAAATAGAGGCGGTTTAGAGTATTTGAACAAATGGATCAATTACAACTACCGGATTCGTATTTCAGGACATTAGAATCAATATTTCATGGCTTTTCCAGACTTCTCTAGAACTGTGTTTCATAGTTATTAAATTTAATTATTTTAGAAAACGTTGTAATACCTCAATTAAAAATGTAATAACAACAGAATTTCTTGAAATAATCTCTCCTTCGAAATCTGACTTTAGTGTTCCTATAATAAGAGAAACCGTCAGCATCCTTCCGTTTCAATAAAATTTAATGTCTCACAATACGTTGTATATAATTCGCCTTTAGTAAAGCGGATAATATTGAAGACTATATGTTAATCTGATTAGAACCCACCCAATAATTCGCATTCAGACATAATCTTTTGTATATATTGTATCATTCTGGTCGTATCTGGATTGATCGTTAATAATCGCAAAATTAGATTTTATTTGCCTTCTTTGTAATTGTCTCCTTAAAAGTATTTTCTTCTACCCAAGGAATTTCATTCTTTATTCATATGTATAAAAACTGATGTAGGATAAGTTAAGACTTATTTCGGTGTTCCCATACGTGACCACTACTCGAACTCAAACACAAGACAGAATCGGCTTCACTTTATAACACAAACAAAAGTAAAGTGGAAGTCAAATCTCGCGTCTACTAACCAACTACAAAGGTTAGGTTTAGCTACCAATGCAACAAACGAAACCATTTGAGGCAGTATGATGTAGGACTAAAACTTAATTTCACTATGAAAACACTCTTCATTCTTAGCCCATTACGGTAATAGGACATAATGATGAACGTGCTTTGCTCCAAAGAATAACCCATCCTAACCTAAAAAATCATTTGTAACACTGACCATAATCTGTGTGTTCATTACCTGAGATTATTCCACAATTATCTGAAGTTTTGATAAAAACTGTTTTTTGAGACACTTAAAAAAGAAAAAAATATTGACATACGACAGACTCTGATGAAGTGTTGGCACCGAAACAGTGCAGCCAGTAATGTGGCGTTAAAAATAAAAATTCCAATATTAGTGTAATCGTTTCCACAAAACTGTGCACACAATATCAACACAGTCATGGGCTTCCTTGAGTTCGATATTTTATGATGACCCTGTATAAATTATACGTAAATTTTAAACACCCCTTTTCCGAATATCATATAGGGGAGTATCTGTTATTCCTTAACTAGATTTTATACCCACTAATACAAAATCCTTTTCTGCGCTTTCCCTCTCTTATTAGATTAAACGCCAGGCTGGAAATTCTCAAAGAATTCAATCGACTTGTTGGCGAATCCAATTATCTGAATATCAAGTCAGGTATGTTGATAATTTTCTTGCCACAATAACTTTCCGTAATTGCGTCATTCTCGTTATTATTAATTTAATAAAGAAACGACAGCAAATTCCCCCGATATAAAAATGAAACATGGAAAGTTATTCAGTAAATTCGTTAAATAATACGTTGTAAAAAAGACGCATCGGAGAAACCATTTCAAATATGCTGTTCTTGTCAAAGCTCATTTGTTCAAGTGTCGTTTCGAGTAAATTGTATCCGATACTGTGAGATGTCATCTCGGGAAATTTTGATACGCTGAAGTACTCTTACGGAAGGAATTACAATTTTATATTTAGACAATGTTCTTACAAATATACATAACGATAAGTAAAATCTAAAATTATCGATTTATTTTAGTAAGCTTGTTTTCTCAAATTTCTGCTTTATTGCAGAGGATATTTTCGAGAAAATGGGGAGAAATTATGAAAACCAAGTAAGTGCCTAATTTAATTATGAGTACGCGATGCAAAACCCACACAGTGCAACAAGACAAGTTTAAAAGTTTTAAATTAAAACCAGAATTCATGTAAAACTTTCTACACTCTAATCATTATAGAGAGTGCAAAAGTATCTGCATTTAAACATAAGTTTAAAGTTGACATTAAATCCATGAATATCGCAATGGGCGGAAAACAAAAATGGGTTAACTATCGCGATCACTTACAATTGAAAATTTAGCGTGTAATAACTGCGAAGGTAAATAACTAATTAAAATTTGGGTATATCCAGTAATAGTTACATTTCATTAGTTTATTGATTTTTAGGTGTACCACGAATCAAAATATTTTCGGTCGACTATTTTCATTCCCTACTGTAAACTTTTTGAAGACTTAGATGACATAACAAAATATAAAAGTATGTGGAATTTAAATTAAGTTTTTCTGTTTAAAATTCAAAAATTTCTGTCTAACTTAACAACTTACAGACCTTAACTTTTCCTATGCAAGAGAAGCAACCATATGACTTTCACAATTTACTTAATATTTAAGTTTTAATGGGATCACTAGAAAGTACTAGTTACATACAAGTTTCAACTTCACGGCCAATTTCAGATCATGAATAATATGTGACATTGGTTCATACAACAATACAGACTGAAGGAAAAGCGTAGGATTCAAAAATAGACGGAAATGCAAAGTGTAATTTCAACAAGGAAGCGGACTTGGAGCCCTACTTTTCTTATTATATGTCAATGATCTACCTGAATATCTTACTGATGGGATGGTTTCTTTGACGACACATTCATTTTTACCTGTGACAAGTATCGTAACCGTTTTATCAGTAAAATAAACTCTTATGGGTGAACTTTATGCATGACACCCAATAAACTACGACAAACTTGTCTACATCGAAACACATAATTCTCAAACGTAGGGTGAGAATTTCACCTTTAACATAAATAACATTATTGTGGAGACAAAAACTCACTCACATACTACACTGTCCTTGATGTTAAAGCAGGACATTATCAGTAGAACATCTGATGACGTAGATAAAAATGCAATTAAATAAATAGGAAAATACTGTTTTCAGTATTTAAGTATATTCTATATTCAAGTTGTGCCTAAATATGTTTTCAACCCGAAGACAACAACTCACCTGGCAGAAATTTTCAAATGGGCTGGGTGCAATTCTTCCTATTTGAATTGAAAAAAATTGGTCGACAGTTTCTCTCCTTTGAGTACAACTCCAGCTTTTTCGAAAATGGTTTGATTTGACTTATTCTTGTTTGTTTATTTATTTGGGTTTCCAGGACCGGGTTTTATTAATATTTTCAGTGTTTTGCTGACGTTTCGTGACCTTTATTGGTGCTTTCTCAGGCTATGCACTATTATTAGTCATTTTATACCAGTAGTGTTGCAATGAGTGGTTGTTGTTATACAGGGTGTCCCAGAATTCGCGCCATTCCCGTGAATGACATGTTCCCTGTCCCGAACTCTGCCGTAATTCGCAAAAAGAATTGTCCAGGCTTTAACCGTGTGAGAACTGGAAGGCGATTAAGTTGACCAATAGAGAGGCTGCTTTTATATCCGAACGTTTCTATGTTCAAAGTTACCTATGCCAAGAACAAAAAATCGGGTAATACTAAAGTTGAATGATTTTTTTTCGAATCCCCCTCCGTCAACAAAAGGAAACAGAAGTGTGGTTACAAATTTAATCATTTTGACAATTGTTTGTCATAAACTGTCACGAAGTTCATCACTGACCTGAAGAGACGCTTCTGCGCCAAAGATGACTGATTAATGTACACAGAGACAGAGACGTTTACTTTAAGGCAAGTAGCATGGGACAGAAGTTATTTCTGCTGCCATTCTAGTTAAATTGTGTTTAACTGGGCTGTACATGTCATAAGAGAAGCTGTTTCATTTCATCGTAGGCAACTAATACATTTATTACTATTCTACATAGAGTAGCTACCGAAGAGCAGGTATTAGAAGTCATTTTCTTAGAGCCCCGTGAATAATCGTCGGTACCCAGACCAACAAGCGTTTCACCGATTGTTACATCGAGCAAGAGAAGATGAATCTTTTCAACCTAGTCGGAAAGGCCGTGCTGGGGCTCCACGGAATGTACGTGTGGGTGCTGAAGAGCAAGTGTTAGAAAACATGGAAGCGGATCCTAGGAGAAGTGTCCTCTATGTAGCGCAAATGAGTGGATGCTCAAGATCGACCACTCATCGGATCCTTCAAGAGAGAATACTGCATCCTTACCATTACACGAGAGTGCAGCATCTGCGACCAACCGACTACCCGCGACGAGTACATTTTGCTCAATGGTTTTTGCGACAAAATGAACTAAATCCTGATTTTTCACGGCGCATTCTTTTCACCGACGAATGTTCATTTTCCCGAGAAGGAATGTTTAGTGCACACAATTGGCACTTCTGGGCACACGAAAATCCACATCTCACTAGGGTGAGAGCGTACCAGGAGCGATTTACTATTAATCTATGGGCTGGAATCATTGGTACTACTGTGGTAAAAATTTTAATGCATCTGATAAAATCACTAAACTCCGTTCCTGTTTTTTAGGTGGGGCCGTTTGTGTTACCTGATCACCTTAATGGGGAGGCATATGCTAATTTTCTACGACTAGAGCTTCCGGCATTGTTGGAAGACGTTCCTTTGAATGTACGGCGGAATATGTGGTTTCAGCACAACGGCGCTCCTCCACATAATTCGATACTTGCACGGCGAACATTGAAAAGAGTCTATATATCTATGTTAAATAATATACAACACAACATAATGCGACGAGTTAGAACTGGCATTGAAGTTAATGGTGATCATTTTGAGCACATTGTTTAATAACGTTACAGTACAACGATTCCGGCCCACGGATTAATAGTATTGCTCTTGATATGCTCTCACGTTAGCTAAATGTGGATTTTCGTTTGCCCAGAAGTGCCAATTGTGCGCATTAAATATTCACATGCTGGTCAAGGAGCCGATGATTGGGGAAAAGACCTGTATATTCGCACACAGCAGTGGCTGCATAGCGTTTACATTCTCCATAAATTAACATCATTTCCAAATATTCTTTATACTAGTATGAATAAGACATCAGTGACTTAGTGGTATTGGTACTGATTTGTTTATAGTTTGTATTGTTCTTAAAAAAAAATGCAACTACACGATTTTTGTTATAATTTTTATTCGTATCTTTTCACTCTCTAGAAAGTACTCGCAACTTTAAAGAAACTGTCTTAAATCATCATGTGCAACATCAATATTATTCTTGAATAAGTCTCAGTTTTCAGTATCTCCCCCACATGATTGACACCACAGCAGATACCTATGATCTTAATACACCAGAGAACTGGAGTCTCGTCTCTTTTTTCGTTGCTTAGACTAGGTATCAGCAACAAAGCTGTTCAGTAAAAATTGATACTATTTATTGAAAATCATAAGCACCGATTAATCAAAAGCGATATTTATGTTTTAGTACACTAAATAACGTTCTTTGAATGGACATGTGGTACTCTTTTTTAGAAATAACGATAAACTTAATATCAGGGATATGATGCAGAGTAAATTCTGAAAATGTACTAATTTTCGTTAAAAATAACAACGCATTATTCACGGGGCTCTAAGAAAATGACTTCTAATACCTGCTCTTCGGTATCTACACTATGTAGAACAGTAATAAATGTATTATTTGTCTACGATGAAATGAAACAGCTTCTCTTATGACATGTACAGCCCAGTTAAACACAATTTAACTAGAATGGCAGCAGAAATAACTTCTGTCCCATGCTACTTGCCTCAAACTAAACCTTGACGTCTCTGTGTACATTAATCAGTCATCTTTGGCGTAGAAGCGTCTCTTCAGGTCAGTGATGAACTTCGTGACAGTTTATGACAAACAATTGTCAAAATGATTAAATTTATAACCACACTTCTGTTTCCTTTTGTTGACGGAGGGGGATTCGGAAAAAATTCATTCAACTTTAGTATTACCCGATTTTTTGTTCTTGGCATAGGTAACTTTGAACATAGAAACGTTCGGATATAAAAGCAGCCTCTCTATTGGTCAATTTAAGCGCCTTCCAGTTCTCACACGGTTAAAGCCTGGACAATTCTTTTTGCGAATTACGGCAGAGTTCGGGACAGGGAACATGTCATTCACGGGAATGGCGCGAATTCTGGGACACCCTGTATTACGTATAACGTATATTTATTGTCATGTTGAATAATTCTGGATATATTAACAGTAAGTATGGGATTGCAAACACAATCGATCCCAATGCACTACCTTAGGGTATATCGGAAGTCACTAAGACATTAGGCATTGTTGGAAATCTTGTTATTTAAAACATGTTGATTATATAGTAAATTGGTGTATCACTCACTGTGTCAATAATATACATCAACTTTTTACTTCCCGGGCGTAAGCTAAGGAAGTATTGTAATCGGAACCATCGCTCGAGTGATGGCTTTCATATTTTCTAGATAGATCATGTTCATATCTCTTAAAGTACGAAAAAATAGATCTCCCGTTTCCGTCTGTCAGTCTGTCTGTCCGCCATCCATGACGATTTTTGTTAGGCAGGTAATCTCCGAAACTACCGGACCAAATTTTCTATGTGCATTTTGAATATCGTTTACATGGTGAAACACTAGACACCAGACTTTGTCTAATTATCCCCACCAATAATGCGATGATGTCACCTCAAAATTGTACATAGTAAATGAGTTTTAAATTGTATAAAATAACATAGTCCTATACGTGCAGTTTACGAATCTGTGTCCAGTTTTTACCCGAGACGTTCAGATTTTTGGAAAAAAAATCAAAATTATATAAAAACATTTCGCAATTTAATTTTGAATCTGCCAAACAAACAAAGTTATCATAATCAAAGTCATGGTAAACTTTTAATCAAACTATATTTGATCATTTCCCCAAAAAATTGATGGTATCACCTGAACCGTTTGCCCAATAAATCCTACCTTAAATATGATATACTTGTGATTTATCATTGCCTTAATATTTTTTAGATTTGCTCATACGGGTGTCTCAAAAAAATTAATGACTGAGTCAATTTATTTTATTGACCGAATACTTTGAAATCTTAGAGACGTTTTAAAGTTATTGTAACCATGGTAAATTGTTAACCAAATATATCTGTTTATTCCCCCCAAAAAATGTATGACGTCACCTCATTTCTACCCAAAATGTGTAAAATATGATGTGTTTTTACTTGTGATTTAGCATTGCATTCATATTTATTAGATTTGCTTAAACAGGTGGCCCAAAATAATTAATGATTGAATCAATTTATTTTATTGATTAAATCGGGAACGGCTCACTACATTTTCCTAAAAAATTTGAGAATACAATATTGTGATTATTATTATTACACTGCACCAATCTAAGTTGAAAGTTGATATACCTGTCCTTGCAAAAATGTTGATGACATCACAAAATTTTGTAAAGTAAAGAATCATTCGAAACATACGCGTAGCACTCTTCTTTACATTTACATTAACACTAACATTACATAATATGTTTAGTTCAACGGATAGGGCTTATCATAAAAAAAACGCAAGAAAAAATTTTATAGTTTTTCGAAAATGCTGGATGTGTTTCATTGTACTTCAGGTGCGAAAGAGGTTCTGTTGAAACGAACTTCAACCAATTTTTTTTCAATGCGAAATTTTTCAGTCTTTGGAATTTTCAATTTTTCAATTTACAATTTTTCGGTTTTGAATTTTTTCATTTTTCACATTTTAGATTTTGTAATTTTTCGTTTTTCAATTGTAGATTTTTCAGTTTCTCCATTTTTCACCTTTTCGTTTCTTCAATTTTGTATTTGCAGTTTTTCCAGTTTTCATTTTAAATATGTAATAATAATTATATTTAAAAAAAAATCACTCATGTTACTGTTTTAGAATTTGTCCAATTTTTCATTATCGGATTTTAAAAACTTCTTCATTTATTGGATTTTTCATTTTCAATTTTTCGATTTTTAGTTTTTTAATTTTTCGATCTATCAGTCTTACGGTTTTTCCACTTCACCATTTTTGACGATTCTAAAATTTTTCAATTTTACAGTTTTTGCGTTTTCCAATTCAATTCGATTCGTTTTTCTTATGGCAAATTTTTCAATTCATTGATTTTTTCGATTTTTAAAGTTTCTCGAGTTTTTGTTTTTCAATGTTTCAATTTTTCGTTTCTTCATTTCTGTGAATTGCAGTGTTTTTTTTCCATTTAGAAATTAAAAATGAATGAAAGGATAAAATGAAAATTTTTAAAAATCTAAAAAATTGGAAAACAAGAACGTAAAAATTAAACAAGCAAAAAAATGCAAAATCGTAAGATTAAAAATTGAGAAACTTAAAAAGCGAAAAATTGCAAAATCGGAAAGACGAAATATATATTCTAAAATCGAAATATTGAAAATTAAGGAAAACGTGTATAATTGGAAATCCAAAAATTGCAAAATCAAAATATTTAAAAATTGGAAATTTGAAAAATTGAATAAACCAAAAATTATGAAAACAAAAAAAAAAACATTGAAAAAATAAATTATCTTCGGTGTCGAAATTTTATTCTTACTGATTTGTTGTATTTAACTTGTCTAAAACAGGATTTGTAAGTTTTTAGTATCAATAAAGTATTAATTGTTTGATTTATTGATTGACTGAGTGATACAGGAAATGAAAAAAGGAAACGTAATGTCAATTCGAAAAAATAAAACTTAGAAAATGTGGAAAATGAAAAATAAAAATGAAGAACTTGAAAAATTGTGGAAACGAAGCACTGAAAAATCAAAAAATTAAAAATTGATAAACTGATTAATCTAAAAGCGAAAAAATGTGAAAAATGAAAAATAAAAATCAAAAACTTGAAAAACTGAGGAACTGAAAAACTGAAAACTGGAAAAATTGAAGAAATGATAAAGTTAAAAAATTTGGAGGCCGAAAAATTATGGAAACACTGAAAAATGGAAAAATTGAAAAATTAAAGAAAATGAAAAAACGATGTGATGTCGAAAATTGGTCAAAAGTGATGTAACCCTCATAAGTCAAAATAAATACATGTATGTATTGCTAAAATAAAGATAAAGAAGCGTGTTACGCCTTTGTTTCTAGTGACTTTTTCCATTGCAAAATTTTGTGATCACGTCATCGTTCAACATTTTTGCAGGGACACATATCAATCTCGATGGATGCAGTGTAATACTAATAATAACACTACTGTATTCTCAAATTTTCTAGAAAATGAAGTGACTCGTTCTTGATTTATTCGATACAATCAATTGCCTCATTAATTAATTTTTTTGAGTCACTCTGTATAAGTAATTGTAAGAATTTTGACTGCATTGACACACAACAAGTGCAGAGTCATAATATTTTTACATATTTCAGAGAGGCGTTATTAGGTAAGATTTTGAGATGACGTCATTTTTTGATAGGGGATAAACAAATAAATTTTGATTAACGATTTACCATGATTACGATAACGTTAAAACGTTTGCAAGATTTCAGAGCATTCGGTTTTCTGTTTCGATGGTAAATTAGAAAATGTTATTTTTTTTCCAAAACTCTGGATGTCTCAACGCGGATTTTTACATCACAAGTGCAGGATTTTATTATTTAATAAAATTAAGAACAAATTTGCTATTGTAAATTTTTTAAATGATGTCATCCCATTGATGTTTAGCGAAATTTTTGTTAGCGTTTCATCATCTACATGATATTCTTAATACACGTACAAAATTTGACAACAATCAGTACTGTAGTTTTGAAGATTACGTTTAATAAAAATCGACACAGACGGCACAGAGACAGATAAACGGACACAGGAAATCACTTTTTTCGGAATCTTAGGGTCATGAAACGTCGAAAAAACATGAAAGTGGTAAGTTACCCGATGGACTCGATTACTATACTTCCTTAGCTTACGCTCAAGATGATAACCAAAAGTCGCCAAAAATATCCCAACTATTATTAACTGAAGCTAAATTACTACTAGATGCTTATTTATACACTAACTAGGACTCCTCCCACTTCACCAGTAGAGTAAAGGGGCCATTTTAATGTTAAATAAATAATATATTAATTAACTACATATGCATATAGTAGTTAATTACATATAGTGCATTCAAACACGAGACGACAAGACACGAGT